AACGAGCTAAAAAGTTATCTTTGTCTGCGGCAAAGCTATACCCTTTGCTATTTCCTAGAACAAACCAAGAACTATGTACAAGTATACTTGTATACCCTACTGCCTCCTTACTATCTTATCTTTGTTTGGAGCTCATTTTTCACTTATTTTGCAATTGGTTTTGTCCATGGTGTAACTAGCCCCATCAGCTATGACAACAACACTGTCAATATGCAATCACTATATCTGCAAATCTCAAAATGTTATTTGTGTCAATAGAAACAGGCAGCCTTCAACGCACAGCTTAGCTCCATAGCCATGGAGGCAGTAGATGTGGGATGAGACAGGCGGACAGGGGGACAGGCGGACAGACGTACATCGCGACTTGTGCTGATCATACGAGTATGTTTTATAACATTCTGCTATTCTTCCTTTTGGGCGTTACAAACGCACATGCCAAAAGTCATATACCCTCCCATATTTCAGTGAAGAGTGTACAATTTCTCGAAATTATTATTAGAATTACAAACTATATACATACAAGTATATATATGTGTACGTATGTACACATGTGTGTGTGTGTGTGTGTATGTAGGTGTAGACGTGCACTCAAGAGTCGTGCACAAGTTATAAATACACGTAGTTGTATTTACGTATGTCTGAATAGTTTGTTAAATATAGTTGCTACTAATAAGCGGGGTAGAAAAATAGAGCAAGCAGCTGCCGCAAATAAAATAATAATAACAATAAACAACAACAAGAACAACAACTATAATACATACATAGGTACAACAATAATGCATGGCAGTAGTAATAATAAGAAGGGAAACAATTTGAAAAGTGCGTTCGTTGGAACGTTAACGCCAACAAAAAGGCAATTTTAAATGAAAATTTATTAAACATTAGCGTAGGTAAGTGAGGTAGGCGAAAAATAAAAGAGAGACAAGCGAAGACAAGGAAAATGAAATTAATTTCCACGCGCGCACACGCAGAGGAACAGAGGAACAGACAAACGGGTGGCGAGGGCGACAGAGGGACAAGCGGAACGGAGCAAAACGGAACAAAGAGACACACGAAGAGACAGACACTCAACGCACGGAAATAAGCGAATGAGCGAGGGAACAAACGAACAAGAGAACAAGTGAGCGACGGGTGAACGACATGCTCGTGCTGGACTTGCTTACAACCAACGGTTTCCATTGTTGTTGCTGTGATGCTGTCGCTATCCTTGATGATGATAATGACGTTCATGTTCCAGGCAAGGACGGCTGTCTGTCTGCCTTGCCTGCCTTGCCTGGCTTCCTGCCTTCCTCCCGGCCAAGCTGCCGGTCTGCACACAGAAAGTGGTTCAGACTATTGCAACTTTTTCAATACCGGCTAGAGTTAATTCATATAAATATACATGCATGCGTACATATGTACATGTATGTATGTACATACATAGTGTGTATATGTGTAAGATTACATACATACATACATATGTACACAGGTGTGCACTTTTGAATCTTTCACAGACTAGAGCTATCATTTATTTATGTATACTACAAGTATGTACTCATATCACATATCATAACAACCTGAGCTCTGCGGACTACCAGCAACTTCTTATATACTTATGTATAAGGTGATTCCCAAAATAAACTGGACTCTTTTAAAATATTAAAAAAAAAAAAACAATAACGATGGAGATTAATTAATTTTATTCAGAATAGTCCCCTTCGGACCCCATAGCGATTTTCGCAGCATGTCAAACGATGTGTTAGCTCGTTGGCTGGAATGGCCTTCATGATGATCCATGATGATCCATTTTCATCCACATAACGATTTCCTTTCATCGATAAATGCATTTTTCGCAAAAAAAGGTTAAAAAGGCCCGTTTGATTTGGCAAACGAATACGGGGAGTGCCTTGAGGTTCAAATGTGATTTTTTGTCTAAAAACATGAAACATACTGTCATTTCTCGTGGACGCACTCTGTTTCTGGTAAAGCAAATAAGATGAGAATTTCACTGGAATTCGTTAAGGATTACACCTTTCCAATCAGCCATAAGAATACCCTATTCCTAAAAGTCCGCACCTTGCGCTATACATATTTGGTAATATATTCAATAAAACAAAAAGATAATTATCATGTACCATATTGAAAAAGAAGAAACGCCTTAACATATTTTAGTTCATCTACTTTCATCTTGTACAAAATATTTTGAAGAATTGCAGCTGTCTCTAGCAACTGTCTCTAGCAGAAGCAAAAAGAAGAGCTAAGTTGATGCTGCAGCTTGTAGTCCTAGTACTGGGGTGAAATTTATTCGCTGATAACTTTTCTTAGACCGATTGGATGAAATTTGAAACAAAAGTAGATATAAAAAAAATAAAATAAACTCATATAGACTAGTGACTAGGAACATCCACATACCAAGTTTGATCAATTTGCGCTCAGCCCTTTCCGAAATCCAGGCGTTCATCCAGACGGACAGACGGACGGACATGTCTACAAGTAGATCGATTTCTCTCGTCATGCTGATTTAGAATATTTATACTTTATGAGGTTGCAGATGCTTCCTTTTGCCTGTTACATAGTTTGCACAAACCTAATATACCCTTTTTACCCTTCGGGTACAGGGTATACAAATATGATTAAGGCGAAAGTTCCACTGCAGCATTACAAATGCAAGAATGAATTCAGAAAAATGACATAAGCTCGTCCTTTCTCGGACCTAGGAGAATCTGGATGCCAACTTTGGTTATTCTAGCTTTTATAGCCTTTTTACCCTACGGGTACAGGGTGTAAAAACAAGAAAGGAATGCTAAAATCGAGCATGCTCAGCTCTTAAATATCCTGTACCAACCACGAAAAAAAATTATTAATTTAATAATTTTATTTAATTAAAACAAGTAAAAAAGCTAAAGTCGGGTGTCCCGACTTTGAAATACTCTGTACATATGTTTACAATAATTATAGAAAATAAAAAAAATTAAGAAAATAAAAAAAAAATTTGATCGATTTTACCTCTCTCGGTATTCGAACTCACGTAAAGGGTGTATAATTGCACATTTACATAGCAATTGCGTCTGTGTGAGTGTATGTATGCCTATGCGCATCAATTCGTGTCTGTGTAAGCATTTTCGCAGTCAACCAAACAGCAACATCAACAACAGCCGCGGGCAGCGCTTGAGCAGCGCTGCAGCAGCAAATATATTTATGGCTATAACTTCTTGATAAATCGGTCTATCATAGTGAAACTTGGTATACGGACGTATAATAACCAACTGGGGGTAATTCCAAAATTTTAGTTCGAAATTCCAAGAATTACGGGAGTTACGATTTGCGGGGTAGAGGAGGGAGGGAGGGAAATTCCAAAATATACATTTTCTGCGTATTCACATAAGGCATCTGGGACTAAAATTTGGTGTTCCTAGGTCTTATAGTCTCCGAGATATAGGCGATTATACAAATGGAAAATTGGGAAAACCCCCATAGGGGGGAAATGGGGGGGAAAATCAAAAAAATAAAACAAACTCGTATAGAATACACACATAACGCATCTTTGTGCAAAATTTGGTGTCTCTAGCTCTTATAGTCTCTGAGATCCAGGTGTTCATACGGACGGACAGACGGACAGACGGACAGACTGACAGACGGACAGACGGACAGACAGACAGACAGGGCTAGATCGACTCGTCTCGTCATGCTGATCAAGAATATATATACTTTGTGGGGTCTGCCACGCCTCCTTCTGCCTGTTACATTTTTCAGCTCCCGCAAACCTAATATACTTCTGTACATTTCATGTACAGAGTATAATAAATATAAAGTCTTCAATACATAAGTGTTTATGTTCAATTTCGACAGCATGCATTTACATCAGAATCGTGTCTATGCGCTTTTAGATGCGTGCAGAGATTACATTTAAGGCTATAACTTCCTTTAAATCTTTCCTATCATGATGAAACTTGGCATTCGGACACGTAATGATCTATTGGAACAAATGGAAAAATCACTAATAGCGGGGGAGTTGGGGGAAGGATGAAAATTTTGAAATACACTTATATTTTGTACCTATGTATATAGGGTGCAAAGAATCAATATTTGGTGTCTACAGTCGCCGAGCTCGAGGTCATTATACGCACGGAGTTTTAGAGGACGAGGAGTTGGGTGTCCTTAGAAAAATAAAATATAACCTTCCACAGCGTACACACATCTTTGTGCAAAATGTGGTGTCTCTAGCTCTTATAGTCTGTGCAATCTAGATGCTTATACGGGCAGACAGAGAGGGCTAAATGGACTCGTCGTGCCATGCCGATCTGCCAGTTATATTTTTCACTTTGCACAAACCTAATACTCCGAGAAGTATACTCGAAAGGCCAGAGGCGGAACAGAGGCCTACAATATTGGACGGATTGTTTGGTCTGGCGCAGCCATCAGACAACCCTGTGCTGGATATGGTGCCAGTTTTGAGTTCCATTTGCCGCACACTCGCTGTACAAGTATTTGAAAGATTTGAGTACAATTTTGTTGTTCATATTGTTGTTGTTGTGGTTTTTGTAGCTCATGTTGATGAAGACGAAAAGCAAGCAAAAATCTTAGGCGCGCGCGCAAAATAGGCACAGCCGATGAAAATGAAATGACACACACACTCTCTGAGTTTGATCGAGACATGCATACAAGTATGTACACGTACATCGGCGAACATATAAATACTATACTCACACAGATACACACACTACTAAGCACTCACACTGTCTGCTGAAGAGGCTGCCCGACGTGGCAAAGAAAAATGTTTTTAAGTTGAATATAATTTGTTTCTTACGCTACGCTGAGAAGACTGCCTTCGTCGCCGCCGTCGTCGTCGTCGTCGTCGTCGTCGTCGTCGTCGTCATCGTCGTTTTCTATAATTTTTCTTTTCATTTCTGTTTCAAATTGTGATTGCTGTTCTTGCTGTTATTTCAAAAAACTGCGGGCTGCTATCCAACTGGCACTCTTATGCTGATGCTGATGCCTCCGCCTCATTCGCGGCCAACGCGCGCTCGTGGAAAATTCAAAAGGCCTCTGTCGCTTATCGCGCTGCGTGCGCTGCAATTCCTTTTCTATCTACGTGCCTGTGATTCTGCACACACATACGTGCATGTGTGTGTGTGCGTAGGCTTGTGTATTTCCGAGTGTGAATATTGCAGACGCTGCAAGCCTGCATTGGAACCAGGAAAAACCAATTACTTACGCCAAACGGAAGCAAAATTCCGACCAATATCCGACCAGTTGCTGTGGCCCTTGGGGCCTCTAATTTGGGTTAAGGTGGAAATGAACATTTTTCACTAGCCTCCAGTTTTTTGTTTTTGTTAAAATTTATGTGACAGACCTATGTATATGTGTATATAGTGTAATTGTTCGCCTATTCTGCACCTATCGATAAATCCAATTTCTAAGATGTTGAACAAAAATTCAGCTTCTTCGCAATCGTTGCCGCGCGTGCACAGTTTCTTCAACATGATACCCTCGATTATGCAGGACGATTTGGCCCTGACCATTATGGCCGATCGCGACAACATGTTCTCGATCAAATCACAGCGCAGGTAAAGGACATACATACGAGTATAATACAAATACATATACACATTTCTGATGAGGGCTGTGGTGTCTACATAACGCTTGTTACGCCTAATATTATTTTAATACTTGTAGGTAGCTATATGTGTGCTTCTCAGTTATGCTTTCTACTACCGCTACATTTTATTTTTATTCAATTTAATGACACACACAAAACACGCAGCTCGCCAAACGAATAAAAAAGCGAAAAACATCGCAAACCAAACGAAAGAGCCCGCAAATATTTGTTGTGCTAGTATGTTTGGCTTTGCACATATCTATACATATATATGTACATACATGTATGTATGTATGTACATATTAATTATGATCTATGCCCATGGGGCCCATATCTTATGTATCACAAGCATACAGCATATACTTTGTATACCTATATCGAACATTTATGGGTTCCACAGATTTCATAATAACCCCGACGAGAACAACATTTGGCAATGCTGAATTAATGAGGCCGTTTGAAACTTGACAAATATTTTAATACATATGTACTTGTATAGTATAGTATGTGTGTGTGTATGTCTTTATGTACACACACACACACACACACACACGCGTGCACAAACTACATATACTCGTATAGTAGCCGTAGAATGTGTAACGTGAAATAATAATTACAACCAGCATAGCGTTGGTTTGGATCGCTTTTCCCCACACGGATTTCTAAAGTTTTACGAGTATATGGTTAAGGATTCTATAGAAATAATAAATAACAATCACTCCAACTACAAAACCCTTCACGAAACGATGCATATTCATTTTGAATCAACATTATAAAAATGGCTTGCGAATTTTTTTTTATCAGTTTATTTACATACTTAGGTACTATAGACAGGCTTGTCGAAAGAACTGAGTGTTTGGATTTGCATATCCTTCACTGAAAAGTGGAGCATCAAATTAGCACCTCATATGCGATCAGTATTATCCATACGCAGAGCAAATTTATTACAAATGATATATAGCCTCATTATTTCTCATAGCGCCAGTCTCTAAAATCATATTTTTCAAGGGAACAATCGATACAAAAAGCAGTCTTACTAGCAAAACTTTTTTTTTTATAAATATATCCCTAGCAATCTTGCGGTTTATAGCAGTTGTGCCACTCTATAATATGAAGATTCATTCAAATCGGTGCAGAAAATGTCATACAGCATTTAGTACTAAAAGCTTTTTGTTTTATGAAGACATCTTCTCACAATGATATTTGGGTCGCGAATGGTGGGCACGTGATTAGCGAAATAAATAATAATAAGATCAATATAAACAAGAAAGAGTAATACAGTCGAGCAAGCCCGGCAGTCGAATACACTGTACCCAAACAAACATTGCCCTATAGCAGAAGCAAAAAGAAGAAGAGAGCGAACCCGCTCTTCCAGTTCTTGGTCGTAGTACTGACGTGAAATTGTTTCGCTATTAAATGTTGTTAGAATAACCTGATTTAGATGAATCTTGGAATTAAAAGTAAAAAATATAAAATTATATACTCGTATTATATATACTTGTAAATATATATTCGTATTATATATAAATATATACTCGTCTAAAACATATAATTTAGCTTGGTTTATGTACTTAGCTTATGGGAAATATTGATAAAATCGGGTAGTGGTGAAGCTAAAGTCAGGTGTCCTGGCTTTAAAATATCCGCACATATACAAGTATGTAGAATAATTATGAAAATTTTTAAAAAATTAAGAATGAAACAAGAGAGAACGCTACAGTCGAGCAAGCCCGACAGTGTAATACCCTGTACCCAGGTAAACTTCCGTCACTGAGTTATATGCGCCCAAAGCAGCAGCAAACGGAGGAAGAAGAAGAGCGAACTTGTTGCTGCAGTTTGAGGGGGTTGTACTGGCGAGAATTTGTTTCGCTAATAACTTTTCTTAGAATTGACAGGATTAAATAAAATTTTAAACAACAGTAGATATTTATTTATAAATTATGTGTGCAAAGTCTGGTTTAGGTAGCATTTGAAATGTGGACGCTATTGACGAAATTCTGCAGCGGGGGAAGAGGGCGAAAATTAAAAAAAAAAAAATAAACTCGTCCTTACTCGGATCTAGGAGAATCTGGATGCCAACTTTGGTTATTCTAGCTTTTATAGTTTCTGAGATCCTTGCGTTCATCCAGACGGACAGACCGACGGACAGACGGACGGACATGTCTAGATCGATTTCTCTCGTCATGCTGATCAAGAATATATATACTTTATGGGGTCGGAGATGCTTCCTTCTGTAGTTACATACTTTGCACAAACCTAATATACCCTTTTTACCCGTAACGAAATTGTAATATTACATACAAAAATGTTTTCCATTGATTATACCCCCTTCTATATTCGAACTCACGCAAAAAGCGTATAGCCGCACATTTACAAAGAAATTGTGTCCATGTCTAACGTCCAGTCTACGCGTGTCTATGCGCGTCTATGCGCGTCCCTGTGTGCATGATGATTCAAAATGTCAAAAAATTATGGGAGCTAAGGAAAATCCCTAATTGCGGGGGAGTAGTGGGATGGACTCTGAAATACACATTTTCACATTTGAATCAAACAGAACTAGTATACTCTTTCTGTGTGTACAGGGTATCATGAAATAAACAGTGTTTTCTGTCAGTGTGGGTGCAGCCGTTTCCGCAACCCAGCCGTTCATCCAGACGGACATGTGTTAATCGATTACTGTCGTCATGCTGATTAAGATTGTATTTACTTTATGGGACCGGAGATGCTTCCTTCTCCCTGTGACATACTTTGCTCAAACCCCATATACCCTTGTCACGAGGCATAAAAACACTATAATCTCTTCAATAAAATGTCATACTAAATCATTTTCAGTTTATATAAAAAATGGATATCCATAACTTCAGGCTATGATCTGAGGCCTAACGTAGCCTGTGCTGGCTATCTTTTCCGTTATTTCACGTACGGTCGTTCGGATAAATGTACATTCATTCTGCCGATAATGTCACAGGAACATGGAAAACTTATCCCCGGACTTTTCCCGATGTTACTTATTTTCACGATTAGCAATTTGTTTGGGCATCGTGCTATTTGAGAGCCCTTAGCATGGCAATGCAATTTAGAATTCAAAGCCAAGAAAGCTAATTCAGAATCCGCAGAAAAATAATAAATTATTATTAATAAATAAAATGTAAATAATTTCGGGGACCGGAGTGGTAGCGAATTGAATTCACTAAATGGGAACACCCCGTTCTCGTAGCGACACACAAAGAAGTGATATTTTGAGTTTTGAAATTTTGTGAGCTGCGGTCTGGCTTTCGCCACTTGGTTATTTTTACGCCGCCAAATAAATAGATAAATACATACACACATACATACATACTTGTAGATAGCAGAGAGTAGGAGAGTAGCACAAACGGAAAACCTGACGCGCCCCTCCAGCTGTACGAATGACAATAACAACAGCAACAGCAACAGCAAGAATGACAACATCATGGGCTGCCATTGCGTTGTGGGAAATGACCGATCAGGAGATGCTGCGAGTGGGAAAGAGTCTGTCTACGGTTGCCGAGACCAGCGAGAAATGCCGCAAATGTGTGTGTTTCTCTCTGTGTACGAGTGTGCATGTGTGTGCACGTGTATGGGTGAGGGGGTGTAGGCGCTGCATAATTGCGAAATGCAAATGGACGAGACTGTCCGCAAAACGTGATGAGTTGAATTTGTTTCTGTTTTTGTTTCTGTTTGTGTTTGTGTTGTTGTTATTGGTTGGCCAAGTCATTTGCGGTTAATGCTTTTGCCTGTCGATTGTTGTTAGTCTTGTTGGCCATGCTGTTGGCCTTGTCGCTGCTGCCTTGTGTTGTTGTTGTTGTTGTCGTTGTTGTTGTTATAGTTGTTGGTGTTGCGGACACCACTTCGCCATATGGACATGTTGGGTGGATGGGCATATTATTAAATTGTTTGGTTTGGATACTCGTGAACATTTTGATGTTGGCGTTCAACCTACCGAAGCCGAGCAACCGAACGAACGAGCGACCCTCAGACGTGCCAAAAATCAGGCCCACAAACCACAGCAGCAACAATAACAACAACAACAACAACAATAGCAACAACATCAAAAACAGCGAAATATCTTACAAACCATAAAAGCAAAAGTAGAACAAGCTGTAAAGTGTTCACCGCATTTGCTGAATTTGCATTTTCTGCCTCTGTAATTGTCACTATCCACTCAATGAAAGTCAAAGTTTCATTGCAAACTGTATTTTATGACGAGTACTACTCACTCGATCACGTTAATTAGTCAGAACTGGAGTCGACGCTAAAATTTCACCAAACTAAGTAGCGCCATGTCAGTAGGGTCGCAGATGTGTGCTCGCCCACTGCGCTTTCATGATACCCTCTACCTGAAAGGTACAAGAGTAAACACCTTAAGTTTTGTGCAACGTGAAAAATGCAACGGGCAGAAGGAGGCGTGGCAGGCTCCACAAAGTATATACAGTAGAAAATCCCAAGGGGAGTTAAGGGGATATTTAAATGCGAAACCAGTGCACCAAACGAAAATTCTAGAAAAAGTGTCGGCTTAAGAGGGGTGTCTGGAAGAAAGAGGTGCTCATTAAGAGAGTGTTCACTGTATATTCGATATATAATTTTATTAATTTTTAAAATTATTTTTCATATTATTATTACACACACACTCATATATGTGGGTGCAGAGTATTTCAAAGTCGGGGCAGCTGACTTAAGCTTTCCCACTTGCCGCATTTGTTTTTATATTCTTATTATTAATTTGCGCCATTTTCTTCATAAATAAATACATATACTTAGCGCATAAGCACATCGATTCAAACATATGTACACACATACATATTTTAACATGTATGTATGTATGTATGTATGTATGCCTCGATATATTTTGTCAACGCCTAACAGTTGGCATGTCGCCGGTCGCGTTCGACTTTTTGCCTATTTAATATTTATTTTTAGCACTCTGACTATTTTTAGGCAAGTGGCCTGTGAATAACAATTTTCATTTCTGCGGAATTTATAAGCATAGTGCTGGCGTGTAAATTTGTGCCCCCTGACAAATACCATACGAATAGCACCTAATCCGTTTAAATGGAACTGTGAACTCGCAAACTAATCGTTTTCGTCCCAATGTTCACATTCACGCACTGCACATACATACTCGTATATGGAAGCTCTCCATCTGTTTTTGTTATCACGATCAGATAATGGTGCACAGAATTATAAATTTAAAATGATTTAAAATTAGTGACAGCAGAGTCTTTCCTACTTGTATGTGGCGCAATGGACTGAAACTACGATTATGCTACTTATTGTGGATAAAAGTAATATTTAGGCATTAAGCTAAAGTAAAAACTGTGTTTCAACTACAATATCCATCCTGGCTGAAATTTTGAAATTAACGTCTCATACATCTAAATATTCTCATACTAAAAACTATCATTGCACGACTCACACATCAGGGCAACAGCTTGCAACTTGTTGTGCCAATTGCTGGAGATAGCACGATTGGCCCGGCTCTTTGCAACGTGTGGACCTGTCAATATATATATATATATATATCGAAGCTTACATTTTTCCATTTTCCCGCTGTCATATTATACATGAATAAATCTATAGAATCCCGTTTCATCTCTCTTTTTTCTTACAGCCACGGCGAGGATCTTATTGTGACCCCATTTGCCCAAATTTTAGCCAGCCTACGTTCAGTGCGCAACAACTTATTAAGTCTGACAAATGTTCCAGCATCCAACAAGTAAGTGGTAAAACGTAATTGGCCGTGCCCCAAGAAACCCATGCACCAAATAAAATATGTATAGCATAAGTATATAGTAAATAAAGACTGCAGCAACAAACCCCTTTCCCCATTCTCGTATGTGTGAGAATATGTAGAGTAGTTGACAATGTCTCCCAAAACCCTCGAGCGAAAAAGATCAGCATATAGTTAAATAAACCAAAGCTTGTTACATACTCGTATACTCGGACATACATACATATGTAGTAAGTGTCCATCCTGCTAGCCTTCACTCTTTCTATGTGCTATCTCTTGCGCCTCTCTCTCTCTCTCTCTCTTATCTCCCTCTCTTTTTCTGTAACATGCTCGCTCTTTAGTAATATCTGCCCCTTTTCACTGCCTTTGCGCTTGAAGCTCAGTGCTTTCTTTCTTTGTTATTCTCTCTCCCTCTCTCTCTCTCTCTCTCTCTCTTTCTCTCTCACGGTATGTGTGTGTGTGTTTGTCCCCTTCTTCATTAATCACAAGCATTTTTGAAATTGTTGTTTTTTTGAGCATATGCTTATGATGTACGGATGTATGTATGTATGTTGACTTTGAAATCGTACATAACTATAGTACTATACCATGCATCTGCCATGCACTTGAGTAGGACCAGATTTTTAACCTCATATTACGCAGCAGCTGAAAACTTGAAAACTTTACAGTTAGCTTTTAATGATTGGCCCTTAAAAATTATCACTGCATTGCTTAGACTACGCTTAAGGAAGAAACGCAAAAAGTTGTACTTTGTTAAAAAACATATATCTTGATTAACGTCCGGAGAAAAGAACAAAACAAGAGCATATAGGGGGTGTGATGTGAATATCAGACAAGAAGCAGAAAAAATAAATCAAAAATTTGACAAATTCTTAAAAGCCCATCGACAATCTTTCGCATCTGCAACTCGCCTTAATCGCCTTATTGCGAATAAATGCAAGTGTCGATATAAGTAGTACGGCATCTGAAAGGATTACAACAAAAGACACCCTTCACAAAGCCACGTTTCCCAATTCTGTGCTGGATTCATATGACATGGAGTAAGGAGTGGCATCGAGATGTTTTTTCTGATAAAAACCCTTCAACTTAAATGGACCTGATGGTTTGAACATTCATTTCCGAGACGTTGCTCATCACCGCAGCCGTGGTGTCGGTTCCGATTTGTGTCTTCAAAGTTGAATGCAACTTCATACAAAAACTTGCTCGAGGAGACGTTTCCTCACTTTGCCAACATTTTGGAAACTTCATCTTGCACCTTCCAGCATGATAGTGCCCCAATAGTGAAAACTACTTGTAAAAGCACTCTACTCTACGCAGCACAATGGATTCGAGAGTATTTGGAGATGACTCATCTGTGAAGTGCATGCGTCTGGAAGACAATTTATAAAGTCTTCTAACCGAATTTGAGAGGTTAATTCCAATTAAGGCGGTTAAACACATTATCAATAAAGGCAGTCATCATATTGTAATAAGACTACAAACTCATTTTACAATTAATTTTAACATGTAGAACGTTGTAGTTGCGGTCTATTGGGTAAGCACCGCTTATAAAAAAGTACGTAGAAAGAGGAGAAATAAATATATAATTATAATTTGTTGCTTTTAGTACCTAACTAAAAACTTAATTATACAAATGTTTGAGTTTGTTCTTCACTTTACTTTTACTCATTTACTTGTATATTCCCTATTCAAGTCCATGGCAGTGTACTATATGTATGAATAATGCTCGATTTTGCACTTGAACCACTATGTTGATGAATTGGTTTTTGGCTTATGATGTTGGCGGTTCTGTTGAACGCGGCTTATTCGCCTTAAAGCCAAGTCACTACGTGCTGGCACGGTCATGAGCGGAACCGGAAACAAAAGCACAAAGAACTGCAGTCAGCGCTTTTCTGGCAACTCTTTGTTTTCATTTGATTCGTGTTTTTAAACTAAGTATTACTACTATGTATATACCACGAATAGTCGTGTACTGCAATATGTGTATGTATGTGTGCGTGTTTATTAACCCTTCCAGAAAGTAAACCCCTTCAAAGCACCCAATAAACTCAACAAATTCACAAAATATCTGAAGAATAAAATTCGAACCGACCCACAAAAAAAAAAAAAATAAATTAAGGGACCCCCTGAACCCCTGATGTCGGTATCGTTAAAAGAATAACTTAAAAATCTACACTGAATAAAAAACAAACTAGATCCGTTAAATAAAAAATGTCATCATATGAGCAAGCGAGTTGTGCTTGCAAATTCACAGAATACGAATATATTCTCTGGGAATATATTGTTAGATCGAGAAATTGTGGAAAATGTTGGAAAATAAATTAAAATATGACTATGGTGATCTATTTTTGTTGTTTTTTCTTCTGGTGTTTGTATTTGTTGCCCTACATAATTGTTGTACAACCAGATTTTTAAATTTTGTTCATATTTTTCTCTCTCTCTCTCTCTCCCTCTCTCTCTCTCTCTCTCTCTTTTATCATTGTAATCTGCGCTTCATCACCAAATAATAATATGTTTACCTTCCTTTTTAAAAATGCTTTCTTTTCAAATAATCCAAAATCTTGATGTGGACTCCTGTGTATGCAACTTTTTGAACAATTTCCATTCATCACATTCGCCCGTTAATCCACAAACCAATAATAATATGCAATCAATGTATGCCTTGGTTTTGTCAATTTCTTTTTTGCGTTTAACTAAAAATAACCAAAATAACATTTTAACAATAACATTTTTGCGCTTATTTTTATTTGTTTGCCCATTGCCTGCTGCTCATATTTTCTATTTTTCCTGTCAACGACGTCATTTTTCTGCACAACGCTTATTTATTTTATTTATTTCGTTTTATTTAATTCACACTCATTGCTATTCGTGCTTTTCTGTTGCTATTCTTGCTGTGCCTCTCTTGTGCTTTCACGTTTATTATCTTGTTGTTTCGCTATCTGGCTGTATTGGTGTCGGTGTGTCCTATTTCTCCTTCTGTCTGTGCGTCTCTGTCTATGTTTTACTCTTTGTGTGGAAATCATTTATTAATCGAACAAGATCCAGGCGGCCAGCTCAATCGTCATCCGTCGGACGCGCCGGCAACGTGAGCGGCGTCCTTTTGGCCCAGGGCGATGAGGCTTACACACGCCTTGCCACCGATACCATTGAAGAGTTAGACTGGTGTTTGGATCAGCTGGAGACCATACAAACGCACCGCAGTGTCTCCGATATGGCATCATCAAAAGTATGTATTGATCGAATATACATAGTACATAGTATATACTCACTATATCTATAATAATTCACAATCACATTCCTTATCTTCACAGTTCAAACGCATGCTTAACAAAGAACTTTCACACTTCAGCGAATCGAGCAGATCGGGAAATCAAATTTCCGAATATATATGCTCAACATTTTTAGGTGAGTCAACAAATAAACGCATCTATCTAACTTAAATATACAGTAAGCTCTAAGTAAGTCACCCCCACCATACAAACATAATAGTCTGGGTGGTACTTAGTACATGCTTGCAGTCCTCGAACACTTCCTGGACTGCGCTGATTAGTTCCAAAAACAAACAAATCAATCAGACTCTCGGTTTAGTGATGAGGTGTAGTTGAAGATGATTAACTTGTCGAGGAAATCAATCACCCTTCTCCCTTCTCCTTCCAGTCATGAACAATTCAACTTGTGCGTCGTTTCTAAACGCATTAAAGATAATATCGTGATCCAAAGTCGGCATTTTTATACCCTGTACCCGTAGGGTAAAAAGGGTATATTAGGTTTGTGCAAAGTATGTAACATATAGAAGGAAGCATCTCCGACCCCATAAAGTATATATATTCTTGATCAGCATGACGAGAGAAATCGATCTAGACATGTCCGTCCGTCTGTCCGTCCGTCTGTCCGTCTGTCCGTCTGTCCGTCTGTCCGTCCGTCTGGATGAACGCGAGGATCTCAGAAACTATAAAAGCTAGAATAACCAAAGTTGGCATCCAGACTCTCCTAGGTCCGAGTAAGGACGAGTTTATGTTTTTTTTTTTAATTTTCCCCCCCTTCCCCCGCTACAGAATTTCGTCAATAGCGTCCACATTTCAAATGCTACCTAAACCAAACTTTGCACACATAATTTATATATAATTGTCTACTGTTGTATAAAATTTTATTCAATTCGGTCAATTCTAAGAAAAGTTATTAGCAAAACAAATTCTCGACAGTACAACCCCCCCAAACTGCAGCAACAAGTTCGCTCTTCTTCTTCCTCTTTTTGCTTCTGCTATGGGCGCATATAACTCAGTGACGGAAGTTTACCTGGGTACAGGGTATTACACTGTCGGGCTTGCTCGACTGTAGCGTTCTCTCTTGTTAGTAATCTGAATAACCCACTTAATTGAACTTCTTCTGAGCAACACCATTCTGTGCTTTTGCGTTCGGTCTTCGGAGTGTAGGAAGCATTCGGGTAATACTAACATCGCTCCGAGGATTACAGATGGGGTCTCAACCTCCATCGATGTGTATATACAGGCAAATTCAATTAAATAAGGGACATGCTCAACACAGGACCATTGAGCAAGCATCAAGCAAAACAAAGTGGAGCCTCGACCAAATTTTAAAGCCACCAATTCAACAAGAAGCCTTCCGAGCACCTGGGCCCGCAATGACGACAATAAAGCTTTCATCTCTGCCAAAATCCAAAAAATTAATTAAACTCGTATTGCCTAGGGCTAAGAAGTGGGTTAAGAAGTGCTCAGCTGTTTCCAAAATCCAGGAGCTCATCCAAACAGACTGATTAGTAATATATACTATGTAATGAAGTCGGAGCTTCCTTCTCCCTTTACTTTGCCCGAGCCTACTATACCCTTTTTTCCCTTTGGGTGCAGGGTATACAAATTATAAAAAAATATATATTTAGATAAATTGAATTAATAAAACATGAGGGAATGTACAGTCGAGCAAGCCCGACAGTGGAATACCCTGAACCCAAACAAACTTCCGGCGCTGAGTTATCTATTTGGACTCATAGCAGAAGCAAAAAAGAGGAGAAGAAGAAGAACGAACCTCTCCTGCAGTTGTGGACATAATACTGGAATGAAACTGTTTCGCTAATCACTTTTCATAGAATCAACCGCTTTGGATTAAATTTAAAACAAAAGTAGGGAATTACCTATTACTTAGGTGGGGGAAAGGACAGTCTGCATACCAAGTTCGGTCAATGTGGGAACCTGGATACCTGTACCCAATGAGATCCTTTCGTTCGTCCTGTCATCCTGTTCAAGAATATATAATCACTGAGGGGTCAAGCACGCCTCCTTCTGTGTGTTGCATACGATCGCACAAAAGGAATAAGCACTTTTACCCTTTTGGTAAAGGGTATAAGAAGTGAAAGTGGAACGGCAAACGAAGCGCCAACCAACAAATGTGGGCAGGAATACTTGGAATTTAAGGTGCTAAATTAAATTATGCAGGGCAACATAAAAACAGATGAAGTAGAAATTTCACTGATGACCCCGGGCTGACACAAGCCGCAGCCAACGCCAACGCCAACACCGCTTCACTGCTCTCAGCTGGTTAGGCACACAGAAGCAGATATCGGCAGCGGCTGCGGCTGCGGCCTCGGCTGTGGCAAGCAAAGCCAATTTGTGGCACCATTGATGGCATTGCAGGCAAATAGAGGCGGCACAGGACCTCGAGCTCGTGCTCTCCCAGCTTCTGCTCAGCCCCAAAAAAATTACGCTAAAGGATTTATTTTTCAATTAAATGTTTTATAGCCTTTATTTAAAGTTTGGCTTTTGGAATTCTGGGAATTTTCCGGTAGGGCCACCTGCATGTAGCTGGTTGGTTGGAATACCTTTCCAATCCCCTTCCGACTTCCATTTCAAATTTCCTGACACTCCACTTTATCGGAGCTATCGCGTACCAAGTAACACTGTATTTTTGTCATCGGTGCGAAAGAAAGGATTGCGCATAGAGCCAATATTAAGAATTGTTTTAAACTTGGCAAGGTATTATCCAAAACGTTTCCAGTGATGAGCCAAACCAGAGGCGGTGCTTGTTTATCACGTGGCGGAGTTCAAGAGTGGGATACGTGGTTGGAAAATAGTCGTGACTAAAATGAAGACAAACATGTTGGCCAGTCGAACTTTGTGATTACCGAAAGAGTTCGCTAACTTATGAGCGAAATCAAAAGAAGTGGAATTCTCCAAAATATCAATTTATTTGGGCTACAGAAAAAAGAGTGTGAATTGTTTGTTCCACAAATGTTTACAGAATTCAATATTCGAAGGACATCATAAAAGAAAGCAGAAAAGGCAAACATTTCCTGTATAACGTGGTGTTTTCAATATTGTTCTGAAATACAAGTAAAGAAGCCAAAAGGCTTGTGCCGACAACATGAAGGCCATTCCGACCAACCGTACCATTTGTTTGCTTTTATACTCTCTACCTAAAAGGCACAAGAGTATACATATAAGGTTTGTGCAAAAGGAAAATGTAAAGGGCAGAAGGAGGCGTGGCAGACCCCACAATTTAGTATAGTTTTGAGCAGACTATAGGAACTAGAGACAGGAAATGTTGTCCACAAATTATCTCCAGTTAGTGATTGTCTGAACGCATGATAGTTCAAATTGAAAGGAAGTTTTAGCCGTAAATATAATCTCTGCCTGCAGCTCACACACAGACACGCATAACCATGGGTACAGAGCAATGAAAAGTCGGGGCACCTGACGTTATCTTTTCCACTTGTTAGATGATGTTTGACATTCTTTTATTTCGCCAGCCAGAGTTGATCGAGGAATGCCTGGCAACTTTTGCCGAGAATTCTTCTCCAACGATTTCCACTGCTACTTCGTCTATTGTTGGTACACTATCTCTTCTGGATTGCAGTCCAGGGGACGTTTTTTCAGCTCCTATGAGCGAGCATTCCGTCCAATGCCGTTTTAAACGAAGATGAAAATAATCTTGGGATACCGCAATTATTTCTCTTCGTCCGTTCCGTGAAATTGGAATTTTCAAGAAAATGCATTTGCAAAAGTTGATAAGAACTACCTGCATCGCACCTTAAATCTTGATATCAGAAGCTGCAACACTATATTTGTATACTCGTATATATATATATATATATATATATATATATATATATATATATATATATATATATATATATATATATATATATATATATATATATATATATTTGTATATAGCCTTTAAAATAACTCTGCAGTTTAGGACTAATTACAATATCTTAGATAAGTAAATAAATAATATACATACATATGTATCCCTTTGTTCTCGTATTTGCATTTCATGGAAATATAGCTTGTTGATTTATTAACTATACATTTGTCTAAGCCCATGCGTATGTAATAGTATGTACTTGTATTTACTCGAGTATCTTACATCTAGCTTATGCGAGGCCTATTCATTTAGGAAAAAGCTTAAGTACGTTTACGTTTTCGTTGGGTGCCAAAGGGGAGTCCCCAAAAGTAGGCAACGAATTTCCAATGCCCCTCGCACGCCATCCAGTCTTCCTTGCTGTAAATATTTATGCCTGTTCAAGCAACAAGCCAGAGCTTTGAAGTCACACACGCACACACACACACGCGTACATACATACGTACGTAAATATACAATAAGGAATACTCGTATGCGAATAATTGAATGTCTGTGTGCGAGTGGCAGTGCCTGAAGGCACGTAGCCAATAAATATGAGACGGCATATTTTATTTAAAAAGCGTGCGTACACAGATTTTAAATTATTGTCTATGTACATATGTATGTATGTATGTACATGCTCGTACATACGTTCTCATTTTGTTCATTTTTGACTCGATTTTAATTGAAATTTCCTTCGATTTCCCTGCCTTTCTCGTTCACAGACAAACAACAGGAGTTCGACTTACCCTCGCTGCGCGTGGATGAGAATCCAGAACATACCGTAAATACACCGAGCGTCCAATATCCACGCTGCCGCTCTCCACGCGGACCGCCCATGTCACAGATTAGTGGCGTGAAAAGGCCATTATCGCACACCAATAGCTTCACCGGCGAACGGCTGCCCACCTTTGGGGTCGAGACGCCCCGCGAGAACGAGCTGGGCACCTTGCTCGGCGAACTGGACACTTGGGGCATTGAGATATTCAAGATTGGCGATCTCAGCTGCAATCGTCCACTTACCTGTGTGGCATACACCATATTTCAGGCAAGTACACTCATGTCATGTCCTGTGCCCAAAGGGTATAAGCTTAGTGAGAATTTAGAGGAGAAGGAAGAGAGATATATGTATGTTCTTTTGATGGGAGCGAAAGGACCTCAGGAAGTACAAGAACATAACATAGAATAAGCAAGCGTGGCATCCACGTTAATCCCGATGTAGAAATGCACGCATTCACCCTTAAGTGGGTTCGAATCGCGAACCGAAAATCGAATAAAAAAAAATGTAAAGGCTTTAGTTTCTGCATTTGCTTCAGTCCAAGATCCCTTATATGAATACGCAGAAATTGTGTATTTCACAATATTCCTTCCTCGCCCCTCCCCTCTCTCTTCCCCGCAATTAGTGATATTCCGTAACTCGCGTAATTCCTGGAATTTTCGACTCAAATTTGAACTTGTACATTTCATGTACAGAGTATAAAAATTATAAATCACGAGTTAGAGGACAATGGAGTGTACCGACCAAAGTACGACGCTCGACAATAGAGCTGAGCGCAAATGTGAGGTGCCGTGAGGGCTTGTCAAAACTACTTGTATGTCTACGATTTGCTTCGAATTTCGTTCAAATCTGTTCAAAAGCTATACTAGCACCATTACATAAATGATTATTGTTCGATTAGCTTAGTATTAGTATAACAAGAGTTCGATTTTTGAATTGAAGTTGTTTCAAATAGCAGATACATCATCATACAATCATCTTACACAATTACTCAATGACGTTGAGAGATAGATGTCTACCTTCTTATGTATAGTAAGTAAAAAAAGTGAAACGACACTAATACTTGTAATGTATTTATGCAATTATTAGTAATTGTTTGTAAGTATATTTGCGTTCGAGTCGAACTAGGGTGCGCTTTAAAAATACATCGAAAAACTGAAAGGGCATGTTAGTGTATAAATCATACCACTGGTTTGGAATAATCACAAAGTATTATTGCATCCTGCACTTAAGCGAGACCAAGAACGCACAGAATGCCTAATTGGAACTGTTTTATGAACTTACAGAGTAGAGAATTGCTGACCAGTCTTATGATACCACCGAAAACTTTTCTAAACTTTATGACTACTCTGGAGGACCACTACGTCAAAGACAATCCGTTTCACAATTCGCTGCATGCAGCTGACGTGACACAGAGCACCAATGTCCTGCTCAATACACCGGCACTGGAGGGTGTTTTCACGCCGCTGGAGGTGGGCGGTGCACTGTTCGCCGCTTGTATACACGATGTTGATCATCCTGGCTTAACCAATCAGTTCTTGGTTAATTCAAGTGAGTTCATGCCGCCTGAGCAACATTAATAATAATAATCACTATCTCTTTGCATTGCTCTCTCTCCCGTTTGTCACCACAGGTTCCGAACTAGCATTAATGTACAATGACGAATCTGTTTTGGAAAATCATCATTTAGCTGTTGCCTTTAAATTATTGCAAAATCAAGGATGTGATATATTCTGTAATATGCAAAAGTGAGTATGCAGAAAAGAGTCAGCAAAGGGGTTGCTGTCCAAATCAGAATCTGACATTTTTCGCTCTCCCTGTCATAGGAAACAACGCCAAACACTGAGAAAAATGGTTATTGATATTGTGCTCTCGACGGATATGTCCAAGCACATGAGTCTGCTGGCCGATCTGAAGACAATGGTGGAAACCAAGAAGGTCGCGGGATCTGGCGTTCTACTGCTTGACAACTACACCGACCGCATACAGGTGACTACCTCTCTCGCTCTCTCTCACACACACACATCTTCCATTCACCAGCTCTGTCTCCCTCTTTCTGTGCAAATACTGCCGTAGGTGCTTGAGAATTTGGTGCATTGCGCTGATCTCAGCAATCCCACCAAACCGCTGCCACTCTACAAACGCTGGGTGGCGCTGCTCATGGAGGAGTTCTTCCTGCAGGGCGACAAGGAGCGCGAGTCGGGCATGGATATCAGTCCCATGTGCGATCGCCATAATGCGACAATTGAGAAATCCCAGGTGGGTTTCATAGACTATATCGTGCATCCCCTGTGGGAGACCTGGGCCGACTTGGTGCATCCGGATGCCCAGGATATACTTGATACACTTGAAGAGAATAGAGACTACTATCAGAGCATGATACCGCCATCGCCGCCACCATCGGCGGCCGATGATTTGCCAGCAGATGAAAAAATACGCTTTCAGGTAAGTGATGGTGTTAAGCCAGGCAAGCTGAAAAGTTGTGTGTTCGTTTTACTCCCTTCTCCCATATGGACATACTACTTGTACTTATAAATAATTGTGTATAAACTCTTATATGTGTATAGTATACATTGCATGCCTTTGTATTCATCAGGGTGAGGGTAGCGTGGGCTTCAGCAGCGACCCACGGCTACCCACGGCAGCATTTTTCGTGGGTCCGAATGGGTCGTGCTCGCATTTAACGAACCCTGGTATTCATCAAAGCCACCTGATTCTTCTCTTCTCTCTTAAGAGAATGCCATATCGATATCGAACACCCATACATATGTATATTGCTGTATGCTTTCCCGAACTCCTAGTTCTTCTTCTTGGAAAATAATAGCCTATGATAATACTTGTAATATGTATTTTGTCCACAGAGAGTAAGGACACACAGCATATGTAACAAATGCTGTACACTGATACTAGGTGGTAGAACCTATTTTATAATCTAACTGGCTTGACGGTTGGTTATTACTGAAACTGTGAATATCGATATTTGTACATTCTATTGTTTTACTGATTTAAAACCAAAATAAATCGGCACTAGGCCTTCCACTCTGTAGATTAGTTGGCGAATCACTTATGGCGAACTATCCAGAAACTCTGTTGTGTGCCGGAGCTCGGAACATGCATAGTTCTTAGAACTTTGCGAGCAGTGTACTTGCAGATACCTATATCATGTTTGTGATTTTTCCGTGGAAACAGGAACACACATAAGTACTATATATCGTGAATATATGCAGATTGCAGTAAATATGCTTTTCCGAACTCCTACTTCTTCTTCTTGGAAAATAACAGCCTATGAGAATAATATAGTATGTATTTTGTTCACAGAGAGTAAGAACACACTCGGAACATACAAGTAGTTCTTAAAACTTTGCGAGCAGTGTACTTACAGATACCTACAAGTATATCATGTTTGTGATTCCGAACATGCTCGGATTTCTCGTTAGCAATCCGTCCTATCCCAGAGTTTTTCACATTTCCATTACGGCGGGTTCGTGCCCAATTCTAAAAGCCATCCACGCTTTCCAGATTTTGTTTCAATGCTGTAACAGCTTGTTGCTAATGTGCTAACCACCCTTCCTCCATATGCATCCACAGGTCACATTGGAAGAGTCCGATCAAGAGAATTTAGCCGAACTGGAGGAGTGCGACGAGAGCGATAGTAGATGCGAGCCCAGTTCCACAGGCACTACGGCCACCACCGGCAACAGTGGGGGAGGTGGCGGTGGTGGGGGCGGCGTCAAGCCGTCAGGGAGTCAAAATCAGACGCCACACGCTGGAATGTGACGGAGAGTCGTGGGAATTTATCGCAAATTGACGGAAAAGGCGCATAACTTTTTCCTAATACGTTAGTGACTACAATTTAAAAAGAAACAAAACAAAAGAAAACAAAAAAGAAAAAACAAAAACAGAAATGTTAAATCGTAAAACCAAACAGCAATAGAAAAGTACCGTTTAACTTATAATGAACAGTGAAAAAGCAAAAAAAAAAGAAAAAAATTATAAATTTACTTAAAAGGATGTGTTGAATACAGTGGAAACAAAAACAAAAAAACAAAAAATAACAAAAAACATGTAACAAGAAAAACAAACAAAGTTGAGCTAGGCAACAGCATTAAATCATTAACATACAAAAAGCTTTATTTTAAAAAGCTAGAAGCATGTAGACAGAAACAAAAACAAAAACAAGAACACAAAACACAAAACAAATACCAAAAACCAAAAACCGAAACCGAACCGAAATTAGAATCCAAGACAAGACAAAAAGCACAGCTTACTCTACTGAGTCAACAAGAAGAAGAAGAAGAAGAACAGACACTTTTGTTGGATGTGCAAGGAGTTGTACATTTTGTTAGTTTTAATCATTTAAGCAATGCTTAGCTTTTAAATTGATTTTAGATTCTTTGTTTAATTTTAAATATCGAAAAATATTACTATCTGTTTGATTTCGATTTCGATTGCTCGCTGTTTTACATCAATTGACAAACAAAGACCAGCCAGGAAAGGAATTTTCTAAGCAACAACAACAACAACAACAACGGCAACAACAAATCAAACAATTAGAAACAACTTGTAATTTTAATTTGCTTGAAAAGCGCAAACCTTTACTTTCAATTTCTTAGACAGACATTTATCAAATAAGTATGTATGTTTGCATGCTAAAATGTACACATCAATAACTTTTAACTAATGATGATCATGATGATGATGAGGATGATGATGATGATAATAATTGTAATAACATGATAACGATAATTATTGTTGTTACTTTTGAACATTTATTTATTTCGACAAATGACAAAAATAGAATACGAGCTAAGTAATTACAAAGTACAGCAATTTAGGGTTAAGCATTGATACATCTCGATAAAGCATCCAATGAATTGCGAAAAATTTGAAATCACCGTTAGGAGTACGAGCATTGAAAACGGCCAAAAGCGCGCCCAAATCACGAAACCGAAACCGAAACCAAAACCAAAACCGAAACAAATGAAAAGCAACATGAAAATGAGAATGTTTTCGTTTCTGTTTCCGATGTATCATTGTTTTTTTTTTTTTTTTCTGTATGACTGCAATGCCTAAGCAAACACACACAAGATATGGTCAACATCACGAAAAATCAAGTCAGAATAAACTAAATGTTAATTGATGATTTGCTTTGAATTTATTCGAAATTGTTTAACATTTTGTTGCGAATGCAAAGCTGGAAAAATGCAAAAAAACATAAACAAAAATGAATGTACAGCCCGTAACGTTGTCAATAGACTGTAGTTGTATAGTAAAATTATATTATATATAATAACACATACATACATATACACACATATATTATTTGTACATAATTTAAATGTTGGACTCGAATTTAAAAGGGAATAGCAGAAGGTAAAACAAAAGCAACGTGAACCCATAACAAAAGCAAAACAATTACTTTTATTTGACTGAAATCATGGTTATGGTCATTTCAGCTAAAATCGTTTCACCTTGTTTTCTTTTATCGTTTTGCAACACCTCCAATACACATACACACACACACACACACTGTTTTTATATTTGTTAGAAGAAGTCTCTGTGGATATCTTCGCGCTTATAACTTCCAAAAATAGAAAGCTCCTTTGAGCCATTACAAGTGAAACGCTGTCTTCGCATATTCGTATATATATATACACAATCGTGCACACATACATACACACATACAAGTATACCTACCTATATATGTATCTACAAGCGAGCTATCTACTCTACCTAACTGAGGCATACGCATTAAACGGCCCACCAAAGCGCGCGCGCACACACACACACACACACACACACACACACACACACGTACACAAACAAAAAATGAATAAATAAATACAAGTGAATTAATCAATGAATCAATTGTAGGTCGATTCCAAAATTCAATTCAACTTCGATGCAATTTTTTGAGCTCCAATAGCTCCACTAATAGCTTGCACTCACGAGCTTCCCCCAATTCGAGTTCTAATCAACAACAGTGCAGTATATGATCCTGCTAGATACCGAGGACATTCGGGCTTCTCACAGAGGCTCTTCAACTATCAAAAATTTGTGAAGGCTTCAGGAAGCCTAATCAACACACACGACCACCATTTCACGAGAAACCACGAGTATGCCAAGTACGAGTAGCTTGTGTACAATTGTTGTGTATTCGTGTACATACATACATATGTATAGTATGTGTGTAAGTATGTGTGCAATCAACACTAAATAGTAGTTGAGGAAAAGCATGTGAAATAAGTTTAAATGTTGTTTTTTCGGATTAAACTTAACAGAAGTAAGACTCCAATTTACTGCTTTATAAACAAAACAAAAAACAAAAAAAAAAGCAAAACATTTATTAAACAAAAAAGGATGGAAAGGCAAGCAAATTACAAGCACAAGCAATTTTTATTAATGGCGCAAATAATAATAGTAATATACAAATAATGATAAATAAATTACAAGAAAAACCAAAAACCTTTGGCCATATAACATACTATACTTGTATACATATATGCCACTTTTAGGCGGCGTACTTGTGGCTGACCAATTATAAAGTGCATAATTTATTACCTTTATTGTTATTAATTATTTATTAATATTGTTTTTGTTTATATTTAACACACACACACACACAAACTCACAAAAGATATGTAAAACAGAAATTTTTTGTGTTTCCGAGCGGGCAGGATCCGCGAAAACTTGTTTTTTTTTTAGATATATATACATATATCTACTTATATATATACTATATATACATACTATATACATACATACATGATGACATGAACCTTGATGGTCTAAAAATATCATTAAAATTATTATGCACTACTAAAGCAACTGTGAATATGCATATACTCGTACTCGTATTAATACTACTGTAATGTGTATACATACTCGTATGTGTGTGTTTACAGATGCGAAATGGAAAATTCATAAATTATTGTTAGAGACATACGAGTATAAAAATGAATGAGAAAATGTTATAAACGCCCTCAGCAAAAGAAGAAAAAAAGCGAAAAACCAAATGAAAAACTTGCATTCAAATTTCTAGTTATGCATGTGGCGATGGGACGTGTTCCCATACACGTATTGTTGCATCAATAAAAATAAAATCAACTACAACCAACATACTTTATAGTTATTTAAGCAGCAAAGCGAAAAAGAAAATATTATTAAAATAAAGCCACCGCATTGTAAATGTGCGCTTCAGATTTACTTTTAAATTTCAATAAAAATAAAAGGAACAAAACAAAACAAAAACTAAGCGAAATTATTAAACACTAAATATATTCTATATACATACGAGTACATGTGTACATACATTTGTAAGTTTCTTCGATGAGAGGGCTAAGTCCAAGGCGGGCATTTGGCCAACGCGAAGTAACTTAAACAACAAATTTGAGTGAAATAAATATACAAACAAACAAACAAATGCAAGCCATACACAAGTAAAAGAAAAGCAAAAGCAAAAGCGAAAGCGAAAGCGAAAGGAATACGGATACGGCGGCAATAGCAATAGAAACGGCAACAAAAACAGAAACAGAAACAGCAACAAAATACCCTTTTCTCTACTCAAAAATGCAGCTAATTTTACATAATAATATAATGTTTACTTACTAATATACACAGACGTACTATATATGATATATTTAATATACATATACATATATGTATATTTACATACACCCATACATACATATATACATACATACAAGTATATATATGGGCTATGGGTATGTGCTTAGTGCAGCTAATTACATACATAAGTAATACTACGTACTTATATACATACATAATATAATTGGTTACTACTACAACTTTAACTAAACTACTTACAAGCTAAAATTCATGTTAGTGATGTGTAAAGTAACGTAAAGTACATATGTAAAGTAAATTTTAAAAGTCAGCAACAGCAACAGCAACAGCAGCAAATAGAAACAAAGCTACACACATGCTATGTACTATGTACTATACTATGTACCGTGCAAGTACATACATACATACATATGTACATGTTAGTTGCCAGCCTAGCCAGCAAAAAGTCAGCCCCACACGCTCCATACATCTTCCAATCCTCCCACTTGACTATAGAGTATTCAGGGGTGCAGCACAAAATACAAGTATGTAATTTGAATGACAAATGAGTGTTCAAGTTAGTGGCACGAAGAAAGGGCGTAACTAATTAACTAATGCGAAAACATATCACGGAATCGACACGTTACAACTAAATTGTTCCTTTACCTGTTTTGAGATGTTTTCCTCTTCTTCAATAGATAGTTTTCAGTTATTCATCCGCTGTCAAATCGGTTAGTGATCCTTATTCAAGGCATTTTATTAATCATGCTCCATCAAAGAAACGAGCCGAGCAAGATTGTTCTAATAGGGAATAGCTAGCTATTCTCCTTTTCAAAAAGCTTCGAATACTTTTTGCTCAATATTCTCTTATTATTTATTTGTTTCAGAGATCTTCTTTTTTTTGATTCATAGAGATCTCTGCTTTATATATTTATCTGTACATAAGTGCATAATCAATTAAATTATAATTCTTAACATACTTTATCGACTTTTCTATTTGGTTGTGTATGCTTTTAACCAAATCAGAATCTTCGCTTCCGTTAGGCATGGAGTGCCTGAATACTATGCAGCGACACCTTATATACAGAGTGCATCGCATTCGGTTCTTAGAATACTTGTAGTATTATCAAATACTTAGCATTGAAGAAACTGGAGCCTGTAACAGTCTCCGTTCTTGCTATTCCGTGTTGTTTTATTATTAGCTGCGCCCTTTTATCGCCAGTATATACATATACATATATGAGAAGAGTAACAGATATTCTTACGGATACGACCAAGTGTCCGTGTCCGTGTCCGCGTCCGCGTCCGTGTTAGGGAGAGTTTCAAAAATCACCGAGCACTAAAAACAAGTTGGAGCGCTTTAAACAGAAATCTATTTATATAGTGGAGTGCACTTGGAATGAATTCGAAGTGGAGGCCCCATTGGGCAGCAATAACAAGGGGAACCGCCCGAGCCCACCATCTCTACATAGCTTTGAAGCGACTCAGAATCTTGCCAAATTGGACTGAATTGTAGCTTCATGGCCAAGAGAGGCACAAGTTTGTTGTTTTTTTTGTTTTTTTTTTTGCCCGTCCTAACGTGCAAATATATCAGTGTATATACAAATATGAATATGAACACATATGCATATAGTAAGTAGTATTCTTTTTTTTTTTTGCTGGTAAACTATATCTTGTAATAAAAACAACAAAAACAAAAAAAAACATAAATTATATTATAGCTCTAGGTCAGTGCGAAAGTTGGCCAAATTCACAAATTAAAGTTAAAAGAAAAGAAAAGAAAAAATGAACATGCTCCATTTGCACAATAAATCTTATTTGTTGTGATGGTAGCCGTAAATGAGGGTGTATTTTTTTTTTTTAATAAAACGTGAATATTTAAGAGGAAAAAACAATATATATATATATAAACGTAAATCGTATTAATTATGTATGTATACAAAAATAGTAACAATAAATATGAAAAAAAAATATACATATACATACATACATGAATGCATCAAATGAAATAATATACAAGAGAGGCAAGTTTTGTACCACAAAGAAATGTAAAACACCAAAAAATAATTCGTATGCAAGATATACATACATACATACTTACATACTACTCGTACATACATACACACAAAAGAACGGAAGGATGACCGAAGAACAAAGGGAAGAAGAAGAAGTGAAAGTAAATTAAAATAAATAAAATACATAAGGAGAACCATAAAATGTGCGCAGGCGACGGTTGTTAGTAAAAAGGTAGCTTCAAAACAAGCATAGCTAAGAGAGTTAATCAGCATATAAATACATTATGTGTACATTATATACTTATAAAGGAAGATTTGTAGCGCTGGCGTTACATTTTTTTTATGTGGAAATTTATACAAAAGCAAAAGAAGAATCACACACCTACACAGAACCATCTGGGAGGGACGACGGACGACGGACTACGAACTGTGCGACGAAAGCGACTAAATCGAACAGTAAGGATATGAAGGTGAGATCAGAAAACTTTACGAATTAAACCGTACAATGATGATATCTAAATTCAATATATAAGAGAGGAGAAATTGCAGAACTTAATAAAATCAACTACTCCATCGATTCATCAGTAGGGGCTAAAGATTCCAGTTAGGGAGATAAAAATTAAATACTACATACACGTACATACATACATACGAGCATAAATTTATAGTTTTTCGCTCACTCTCTATCCGTATCTCCATTCCTCTCACTCTCACTCTCACTCCCACTTCCCACATCCCACTCCCACCCTCTGTCTCTCTGTCTCACTCTATCCCATTGTCCATGCATATACATATATGTGTAGTCTATGTATATATGTATATGTAGCTATGTACTTATGTGAACTAATCGTAAGAGTAACAATTATGATAACAATTTACCTAATATGCATGCAAGTAATGTTTAATGCAATTTTTTCGATGAGAGCAAACAAAAATTTCATTCAGTCATTCAGTTTGGTACAATTCGAACCCATAAAAGTAAACGTAAAATATAATAATTATATACATATATACATTTATATATGGTAAGCGAATGCGAAGAAAACATGCAACAGAAGAGAGCAGTGGAAAAAATAAAGAAGGAAATTAATAAAAATAAATAAATGAAAATAAAAACAATGATGGTTTCATTACAATGCAATCCCTATTATTAGAGATTTTCAACTTACGCTTAAACCAATAGGCACTTCCGGCTTCAAGGGAGCGCACTAACAGGACAACATTTTCCGAAGAAAGACTGCACATACAGTTAGGGTAGGTACATAGGTGTATATATTTTGTTGGATCAATATAAAGCTAATTTAATGTAGTACGAAAGCGGGCAATGCTCCACTCTAGCATTTCGTTCTTGTTATACACAAACTCTTTTGTTTTTCTAAACAAGAGAGAACGCTACAGTCGAGCAAGCCCGACAGTGAAATACCCTGTACTAATAATTTTTCTTAGAACTAACCGATTTAGATGAAATTTTAAACAAAAGTAGATTTTTATTATGTATAAATTATGTGTTCAAAGTTTGGTTAATGTAACTTTTGAAATGTGGACGGTATTGACGAAATTCTGTCTAGATCGATTTCTCTCGTCATGCTGATTCAGAATATATATACTTTATGGGGTCGGAGATTCTGCATGTTACATACTTTGCACAAACCTAATATACCCTTTTTAGCCTACGGGTACAGGGTATAACCAGAGGAACAATTCAGTACAATACAGGGCCATAAATGACAAAATTTCAATATTTTTTACACGCCTATTATTCTGCCCAGTCGAAAACATTTATATTTTATGAATTAACTAAACACTAAGGTTTTTTTTACAGTTGATAAAGCCGTTTATTATTTGTTGTGTCGCTGAAGTATGTTTACTTTGAAAACTAATCTAATTTTTGAAAAAAAAAAAAAAACTACATATATGAAAGGTAAGCTTTTTAAAAAATGTGCCCATACCTATTTCACTGACCAGCTGTGTATGCACCCTTTACGTGAGTTTTAATCAAAGTAAAATCGATAAAAAACTTTTTAATTTTTGTAATTTCCTTTTTTTTATTCCACAATTAGGTACAGAGTGTTTCAAAGTCGGGACACCTTAGTAAACTCCTATTGAAACCTAAGTAAACTCGTATGTATGTCTCTTCGTAGGATTTTTTACCATATTTAAAATTCGACTGCAGCATTCCGTTCTTGTTCAATTTTTAGAAAGAACCTGGTATAGCTCGACGGGCTAACAGGAATCCCACAGTGCGAGTTTGTTCCTGAGTAGATGACTAGGTTCGAAACACGGCGCTACCAACATCGCGTATAAAGCATGATTTCAAAAACTGTCGTGTTATCTGCCGGCCGATTCCGCAGCCAAAAATTAAAACACTGTTTTGTTTTTAAATGACTGAGCTGGAAGGCTTTTGAAAGAACACGAGCCAGAATAAGCAGACTATGTTTATTCTTCACGCTTAGATAGGGCAGGTTCTGTGTTTTACCTAATGCCGGAAGCTGTTTTTTGTTTTTGCTGCTTAGGTTCAACTCTGTACTGCACACATAAACCCACAAAGGCACTCATATACTTACACATACACACATAAGTACATAAATGCAATGCCGATGTAAATCTGAGCTACCAAATCGTTCATAAACAAATTACTCCACGTACGTTATATATATTTTATTATATCCATTTAATTTAATCAATTTAATCTTAAGAAAATTTACAAAATATTTTATTTTTGGGAGTGGGTCCAGTGTATTTAGAGTTGACTTAAGCAGTCCTTTTCTCTTTTATTTTGGCTCTCTCGGATACGTCAGACGATTTTCATTTTCCCATTGTTATTTGTTTTAATTAAAAATTTGTCAAATGATACAAAAATTGACTGCCACGAAAAAATGGAGTCATATTTGTTACATTTCAAATAAAAAAAAGGCATTAATTATTAGAATAAATGAAAAAAACATATATAGAGGCATTCAGAGCTCTGAGTTATTTCCATACACACTAGTCGAGTAAAAGGGAACTAATCGGTTCTCGGGCAGTGTACTTCCCATCCAATTGCAACTACAAGTTGTATTTAATAATTTATTAATATAATTCATTAATTTTCATCTTACAGAGCTTAAAAAGTCTACATAAAAGTTTATTGTTTTGGAATTTGTATTTATTCGTTTTTGTTTTCTTTATTTACTTAATTGCCCCCTTTAAGTTATTTCTGTATTTATTTCTGATTCGTTATATTCATTATTATTATTCCACTATAATTTGCGTGTAAATATCCAAAGATCTTGTATGTATGCTTAGTTATGTTTCAAAACAAGAGAGAATGTCGGCACAGCCCGACAGTAAAATACCCTGTACCCAAAAAAAAAAAAGCTTTCGCCGCTATTATATATTTTTTTAGGACTAACAAATTTTAATGAAGTTTTAGAATTACATACATTTAAATAATGCGTGAAAGTTTAGTTTTTATAGTCTTGGAATTGACAATCTTGAAGAAATTCTGTAGCGGGAAAAAATTAAAATTATTACGTAGAGATTGGGAGAGTCTACATTACCGAACCTGGTGATAATGTGGGCCCAGCCGTTTTCGAATACCAGGCCATCAGACAGACTAACGGATATGTGTAGATCGATTTAGAATATAGATATATACTTTTCAGCCTTCGGGCACATGGCATAATTAATTATAATTCATTAACAATTGGTTTCAACAAAATAGTTTGTAATAAATTATGATTACAATAATATTATTAATAATTGGAATAATTAGCATACTTATATACGTGGAGCTTGTGCAATATACTATATATTGGAAATGCAAGGCCATATACTTACATACAAGTATATTAGTGCTCAAATTATTTTTAGAATTTTAGTACACAAATTACATAATACAAGTGGGTTCTGTTTGATGCTAAAATAAAATACAAACAAGAAATAAATCATATAACAGAGGTCGTGCAATAAAATGTCTGCCTGTTTGTATATTGTTTTTAGCATTTCATGTTGCTTAGTTTTTGAAACTTGTATACTTTGGTATGCATGTATGTATGTATGTAGGGCGCTTGGGGCAGCCTTTTTAAATGTTATTCATTAAACTTGCGATAAATTGGTGCTACTTTTTAAATATTAAATACACTTCTCTTATTCTTTGTGTTTCCCTGTTCGCTTAGATTTGCATCTACATGCGTAATTAATAACATACTTTGTGTTTTCGGCAAATGTTGAAAACTTTAATTGTTTTTGTTTTTTGTTATTGGCCATATAAGCCGGATAAATTTGGGTCGGCTAAGGAAAGTGTTTTCTTTTTCAATAACAAACATTTGCAGGCTTGCCCGTTCTTCACAAACAATAGTTTTTGGTTTCTCTATTCGATTTGTCTTTCGTGGAATACAAATTCGGCAATAGTCGTTGTTTTTGTTCTACAATAAGTTTGTTTAACAAAAGTGTTTTATTAAATAAAAATAATACAATAAAAATTATAAATAAAAACTAATTAACTCAAACGGGTTTTGGTTGTCTTGAAATGAATTGGAGGCTTGAGAGTCAAGAACCGGAGCTGCGCAACATTAGGCATCAGAGCCGATCCTGCTATCGTGTGCCTAAACACATGGAACTGTTTCTTTAGAGGTGCGTTATATGTATATGTTTTTATGAAAAACGCATTATTTTTACATATAATGCTGCTAAATTGAACACGCCATCTATAAAACTTAGACGTCAATAACGCTGTCGTTCTTTTTCATCTCCATGAGGTGCGTTTGCTTGAGCTTCTCCTGCATTTGCGTGAGCATATCCTGCATGCGACGTATCTCCTCATCCTTTTGCAAGAGCAAGCGATCCGTTTCGGAGATGGCCGCATCGAAGCCGTTCGTCGAGCTTATCGAGTCGCGCTTCAACTTGCCACGCTCGCGCAGCGCATGCTGTGAAATCTGTGAAATGCATTGGGCCCGAAAGTTCTCGTAGTGTACGTCCTGCGAATGAGAGAAATTAATGTAAATTGTAGTCGCACATGCATACAAGAATGTGTACATGTAACGCACCTGTGTGGTATCCTTCAGGTCCTGCATGTGCGTTGAAATCAGGAACGTGCGCAATTTAATGAAATCGCTGTGTTCCGGATCCTCCACGTTGACGACGCCCCAGGGATATTGGCGACCACGCACCTTTTTGCCCGCAACCTCGAGAATGGTATTGCTTCCCACGACAGCAAATGGAATAGAGGCCTTCAGTTCACGATCCTGCTGCTTGAAGTCCTCGTCCTCGTCGGAATCACACTCGGGAAACTGATAGAGTTGTATGTGATTGTCCTCGAGATCCTGCAGAATACGCTCTTTCAGTTTTCGGACCTCCGTCTTATTCAGGCAGTCAGCCTTGCCAATGACCAGCACAATGTTAACTTTGCGATGCAGCCGTCTGATCAAGTCCAGATCCATTTGCCGCAGACTGCAAGAGAGGTAGACAATCAGAGCGTGCGCACCAGAGGCTTGACATTTCCGCATTTTCAGCACATTTAAGTAACTTACCTGTGGCCCCATGGTGGCACAAAGTAGAGGCAGCAGTGCACGCGATTATCCTGAATATTGCGTCGGTTGAGGCCGCTCTCATCGGTAAAATATTGCCGGAATTGCTCATCAATGTATTGGGTGCACACCCGCCAGCTGTCCTCACAGTTGATAGCGTCTCCGAAGCCGGGCGTGTCGACCACTGTCAGACGCAGGCGTACGCCACGCTCCTCAATATCCATAGTTTTCTTTTCCACACGCGTGGTCTTCTCGATGCGCTCCTCTACATTCGGCATCTGCCGGTTCTTGTAGAGATCGCCCAGGAAGAGGCTGTTAATTAGCGTTGATTTGCCAAGACCGGATTCGCCCACCACCATTAGCGTGAACTCGAAGCCACGCTTCACCGATTTGCGGTGAACCTGCTCCGGTAACGTAGCGAAGCCAATGTAGTCCCGGTCCTTGTCGAACGAGGGCGTTTTTGCTGCAACAAAATTAGGAATCGGGGTGAACGATTAGTCAAAACGTAGCCTCTGTTGCACAACTCAAGTGAATTTCCGGTTTGTGACTGAGTGCAGGGCACTCCATTAGCGTCCATGTCTTCTCAGCCCGAGACAGTTAACAGATAGGCACGTGCGACAAAGTACGAGGATTTAACGTCGCTCATTAGCGCAAAACAAGCAAGTTGCAATGCCAGTGGTTTCGTTTAGCCTTAAGTGCCTAACGTGCCACTCGACTGCCTGCCTGCCTGCCTGTCTGTCTGTCTGCCTGTATTTTCTTTTGCATTGTTTTCGTGTTGTTCCTGCTCCAGTTTTGCAGAAATACTTACACATGGCGCTGCTCTTTTTTACTTCCTCTGTGGATTCGTCCTCGGATTGCAATGATTTGTGTGCGCCAGCCCAAGCCCACCCTTGGAATTAAACACCAACGTGTGTATACCCAACTTATACTACTTATTCGTAAAGGACAAGCGAAATTTTCTTCCTTGTTCTCTTTTTCAACTGCCGCCAGGCCTTGCCATCGAATACTAATTCTGCATGAAATAAGGTAGAGCAGCGAATATCCGTATATTATTGTTGCTAATTGTTGTTAGGTAAACTTCATTTGAAAATCCCCGAGTTTATTGAACACACTTTATTGTTATTAGGATCACACGCACACCACTGTCACTGACAGTCCAGCAAGTGAATGACAGCGAACCGTTGAGAGCACTGAGAAATGAGCAGCAGAGAAGTGGGAGGAGAATACTCGTGAATGCGTGAATACTCTGGCCGCTCTAGTTACAGCTCCAGCTTATCCTGCTTTGTTGTAGCTCGCAAGGATAACAACAGTTCCGAATGGCTACCGAATGGGGATGGCAGCACTACCCAAAACATGCTCACCCGCTCTCTGCGCCTGCGCCATTTCGCACAGGATGTGGACACCCCCGAAACCGTGTGCCACACCAGCGGTCGCACGGGCTTCTCACGACAGGGTGGCTCTGCAACAGCAGTGCATGCCAGAGTTGCCAGACTGTTTTCATGCTTTCGTATCAGCATGGATGGCAGTCCATGTAGTGGCAAAAGTACTAATGCTAGTACATAGTGTGAGCACACCACTCCAATATTACCGTTAATTTCGAACCCTAGATTAGTTGTTCCGATCGAAATGGGTAATCGCAACAAAATTTCAGAATAAACGTTCAGATATTAACTCATTTGATCACGATTGCAACGACTTTTCTGACTTTTCTTTGTACTCAAGACGAGTTGATCTATATACTTGTATGTATGTCTGTTTGTCCATCTGTATATCAGCGACTATAAAAGCTAGAGACACAAAATTTTGCACAAAGATGCATTTGAACCCGCTCTGTTAAGTTTACTTTATTGTTTTGATGCGATCTCTGCACAGGCTCTGCCCGCAGCTGTTGTTGTTGTAGTTGCTGTTGTCAAAATCCTCTCTATTTTCGTAAAGGATACAGAATAGAGCAAAAACTATTTTACCGTTTGATTGCTTGTTCTTTTAGGATATAGGGATGATGATTCTGACAGTCAAAAGTCCACATCCAAAATGGCAGAATCTACATACATCTATTAAATTAATCAGCCCACTAACAAGTTCACTCGGCAATTTCTGCTAGCCTTCAGCAGACTATTCCATTAGCTACGAGGATAGTCCTAAAAGTACCTGAACTAAGCATAGATGGCGGGTTTGATTCAAAAGAATGGCTATGGCATTGAAAACTTTCTGGTAAAACGATGGACTGAAGGATGAATCGAATTCAATCGAAAAACACTTATCCATACATACATACAAAAGTTATCGCTAGGGCTTTCCCGATTTGTCAGCATCGAAAAGGTGGTGCCTGGGGTTGACGCTATATTAAGTACATGCAACTTAAAGGGAACTTTATTCAATGTTATTTTTTTCTTTGTTAGGTCGGATTCTTTTTGGACTATCCTCGTATGCCTACGTATGCCTATTAGTACCATTTGGTGTGGGTCCGCAGTGTCAAGCACTTTAATAACTTGCCCCGGGTTGCCCTGTCTGGTGCATCTCCGTCTTGAACAATCCATTTTATACTGTGGTATGCAGCTAAAGCCGGCAGTATGTCCGAATATCATTTACATTGCGAAGCGTCGGTTGAAACTGTGGCCCATTATGACAGCCCACTTAAAGTGTTAGAGTGTACATACACAACATACTCAAACCCCCAATGGCCGGCGTGAATCTCGGGGTGCAACAACCTGCTTTTTCTTTTTCTCAATTTCATTTCAATTAAATCCAATTTAGTTTAGTTTTTATTCGGCTCTGTGATTACTACTAGAGATGGACGAGGTCCACGCCGATGACGCGGCCACGTTATGGACTTTGGAAAACACGAACGGGGCACTATTTTCCCAAAACTTAAAAGATAGATTTCAAAATATTTCAAGTGCTCTACTGACTTCGCTAAATGACTTCAAAAAAATCAAATAAACTTGCAGAGCGGGTCTAAATGCATCTTAGTGCACAACTTTCTGGGAATTAGGAGATTCTGGATACTAAGTTTGGTAATTCTAGCTCGATTTGTCGTGTCATGTTGATCAAGAATATACATATATACTTTGGGATCAGAATAAAAAAACAATTGATCTGCCTAGGGCTTATGGGAACGTGGATACCAAGTTTGGTAATTCCAGCTCATGCACCTGCTGAAATCATACAGAGGGACGGATGGACGAACAGACGGACATGGCTATATCGACTCGATTTGTCGGCCTGATCAATAATATACATGTACATGTACTATGTGGGGTCTGCCACGCCTCCTTCTATATGATACATACATACATTCGCACATAACTAGCATACTCATTCCTCTTTTGTGTATAGGGTAAAAAAATAAATAAATTAAAATAGCTGTTTAAACTTAAGCAACAATCTCCTCCTTCTTTGTCACAATGATCGATAGAGCAGATCTTGACTGGGCTTACTGAGGGATAGTAGCCGCAAAAGCATTCTTGGATGGAGGTTCCGAGAAATGTGCAAGTCTAGATGCGCTGGCCACTATACGAATGATTCGACACTGATTCGACACCTCCCGATAATTTCCAATTGGGGTACTTGAAGGAAAAGGTGTACAAAATTTGACCACAAAATGATTCTACTCCCATGTATTCCACAGTTTAACGTGCTCCGGTATTGGGGGCTATCACCATATTCCAGGCGAGTGCATTAAAACACGATCTGGTTCAACAACCGGTTTCGACCCGGACAGTTTTCTTCATATGTATGTATATAGTATAAGGAAACTGAACTTAACGACCCGGCGTAGCTGCTGGTGCGACGCACTACGTAAGGGAATCTTAAAAGTGCTGGGCACTTTAGCAAGATGTTGCTTCGAAGCAAATGTGTGGCATGCCACCACGCCATAGAAGCAGGCATTGATCGTGCATTGGCGCATTGAATGTCTCATCGTATTACCAGCACCGCCAACTCGTACACCCGCCACTACCCCAGTCACCACGAACGGCACTGACGCGTCACTTACAAGACCAGCGCACTGAATAAATAAACAAAAGACAACCCGAGTACCGCATTTTCACGGCAAGGCAACACATCCAACAAGGAACTTGTGATTGTTGCTGCTGTTGGTGCTGTTGTTGCTGTTGTTGTTGCTGCTGTTCCAAATGTTCCATAAATAGTCGCACACTGCGTTTAACTAAACGCTTGGTGCCACATAGCTGGCCGGCACTCTCGGTCCCAGCTGCAACAAAATGCCAAACGCAATCGTTGGCCGGTTTTGAAACAATTGACGATGCTTGAAGTAGCGGGCCCCTCTTTACAAACTATCCGCACCTCCAGCCCTTTCGGCGTCTGTATCCACATGCCTTTGGCTGAAATCTTAAATTCTTGCCTGTTCGCTTTAAATATTTTGTAACGAATTTCTGTGCGTTCCCAACAATGAAATACCGTTCAATCCATGTATTGCTTCTTTCGATTCGTTCCGAATACGATATCATTACGATCAGATGTATATATATAGATATGCTAAGGGAATGTTGCAGCTCCTCTACTGCGTGGACTTTTAATGCACATAAAAATAATTAAAACATAAATTAAATTCGAGAGATTGGGTTATTTTTAACCGGATATCAATCCAGAAACTAAATTTAGAGGCTCAATCGGATGATCCGGAACGTCACGAACATTGTTGATTGTTACATGGATCAAGGGAGACGTCTATGGCATCTAGTGATACGTTCAAGTGTCTGCCCTGCAAGGCGTTCCTAAAGCAGCGCAACGAATGAACTCTAAATACTATAGTATAGAATTTCCGTTGCAGCAGCTGAGATACTCTTGTGCCCTCCGCTGCTGGCGCAAAAAAGCCAATCAGTGTTGACAAATGCTTCATTCACTCCACCAAAAAGCAAGACGATTGATAATACTGGTAAGTAGTGTTGCCTAATTTGTTTGTTTTTATTAGAATTAGAATTTTGCAAAATATGTATGTAACAGGGATAAGGAAGCATCTCCGACCCCATAAAGTATACACAAACGAGTATATTCTTAGTCAGCACGACGAGACGAATCGGGCCATGTGTGTTACATACATTCGCACAAAATTGGTATACCCTTGTACATTTTATGTACAGAGTATACCAAAAATGCAATTGCTACAGTCGAGCAAACACGACGATGAAATACACTGTATGCAAAGAAACTTCCGGGGCTGAATAATATGCACCCATAGCAGAAGCAAAAGGATGAGAGCAAGCCCCCACCCTCCCTTCAGATTAAGGGCGTAGTGTAATTGATTCGCTGATAACTCTTCTAGAAGTAGTGGGTTTTATTTATCTATTAACTAAATCGAGATCAGTGCTTTTCTAAAAGTATACAAATATCTAATACCTCAAAGTCACCTTAAGGTACAAAATATTGAAATTGAAACAACATTCTTTTTTTCAATGCCTTTCTCGATCAAGGGACGCAGATGTTCCAAGCAATGTTTTGGAAGTA